GTTGCCACGTCGTCTGCTACGCAGACGACACGTTAGTGATAGCCGGGGGGGAGAGCTGGGGGGAAGCCCGCCTCCGCGCGGAGACGGCATTGGTGTCAGTGGTGAGTACCATCAGAGACCTGGGTCTCAAGGTGGCGCCCCAAAAGACCCAGGCCGTGTTTTTTCACGGCGGGGGTCGGAGGGTGCCGCCAGGGACCTGGGTACTCGTAGATAGAGTCCACGTCCGCGTCGGGCCGACGATGAGATATCTCGGCCTGACGCTGGACAGCCGGTGGAGCTTCGGACCCCACTTTGGGGAACTGGCCCCCAGGGTGCACAAGGCAGGACTGGTGGTGGCCAGCCTGACGCGCACCCAAGGGGGCCCAGGATGGAGAGCTCGCCGCCTGTACGTCGCGACGGCGGTGCTCTCGATCGCCCTGTACGGGGCGCCCATCTGGGCGCCACAGCTGGGGGCCTGCCGCAGAGGCAAGTGCGCACTGCGGCAGGCCCTGAGGCCCGTGCTCATCAGGGCGATTCGGGGGTACCGGACCGTGTCGTACATGGCGGCGACCACCCTGGCCGGCGTCCCCCCTGTGGAGCTCCTAGCCGAGGAGCGGCATCTCCTTTACTGGAGGGTAAAGTAGCTTCACAGGGAGGGAAGAATGTCGGCCAAGGCCCTAAGGGGTCTGAAGCTCCAAGCCGAGGCCCGGACCCGGGAGAGGTGGGAGGACTTATTGTCCGACCCCCGGGGTCCCGGGCCAGCGACGGCAGCGGCTGTCCGCCCCTGCCTGTCCGAATTGACAGGCAGAAGGGGACGTGGACTATCCTTCCGTCTGGCGCAGGTGCTGACCGGGCACGGGTGCTTCGGTCGGTACCTGTGCCGGATAAGGAAGGAGCTCACCACTCGATGCCACCACTGCCCCGCGGCGGAGGACACGGCGCACCACACCCTGGTCGCGTACCCAGCATGGGCCGGGGAGCGCCGTGTCCTTTGCGGGGCGGTGGGATGCCGAGAAGGGGAGCTCTCGCTCCCGCACATGGTCAAAGCCATGTGCGGGAGCGAGGAGGCGTGGACAGCGGCGGTCTCCTTCTGTGAGACAGTAATGTCCCAGAAGGAGACCGCCGAGTGGGGGCGAAGACAGTACCGGGGCTGCGGGGAGCAGCTCCCGGGCGGACAACGCCCCCAGGGGGACGAGGGACGCGACAGCGGGCCCGGGGCAGCGCCGGCCGAGGGGGACTCACAGACCCGCGAGGGTAGGGAGTCCCCTCGGCCGCCACGGGCCCGCCACCGGTCGCAAGGGGGGGAGTAGGGGGCGGCGAGACGCCTTCCCTATCTTCCCCCCGAGCGACCGGACAAGTAGGGACAGGGGGGAGCGGTGTCCCGGTTGGGGCCGGGCCCGCTCCCCTACAAATCCTCCCCTCCCTGACTAGCAGGGAGGGGGGTAAGGAGGGAGGGCGGATGTCCTCTCCCTCCTTGACAGGAGACACCAGAAGGCCAACCGGCGGGGGGTAAACCTCGTCGGGGACCGCGCCCTGGATTCCCTTCGTGGAACAGGGCGCGGTACACAGATGGCGAGGGGCTCCCGTAAGGGAGCCCTGGAGCCGGGGAGTTGGGGAGGGAATACGGGAGTAGTTCCCCCGACTCCCCTCCTCACGGTCCGACAGGTAGACATCCCGCAGGGGTTTTAGTCGGTAAAAGTCCGACATAACCTCCTCCCCCCCCCCAAGGGGAGGGGGTATCCATGATGGATTTCCCCTGCGTGACCAAAAAAAAAAAAAGAAAAAGTATGATAGAATTCACGTAGACTCATCGTGACCTATCGTTTTATTCAAGTCTACACGGAAAATATGTTTGGTTGAATGAACCCATTTTCTGATGAAATGAGAGAGAGAAAGAGAGAGAGAGAGAGAGAACGATTAAGAAATTTTGATTGAAAAAAGCACAATTTTGTTAAAGTTAACCATAAACCTTGATGAATTAGATTCAGTGTTAATATTTTCACTTACTATTTCTCTGTATCGTTCATATTTCATTTGCAAGCTGTATCATGGACCAAACATTTTTACCATATATCATGCGTAAATTGTTGTCTTATATCGTAATTCTTGTCAGTGGTATATTAACGACAGAAGGAACTGAAAGTTCTGTATCGTACAATTGCGAAAAGAGGACCATCGTTGTCAATGGTGCACCAACGACACTCGGCATAAAATTGATTCCTAGGTATGATCGCGATACAACGCAAATCCGAGTGTGTTATTTTGACACGCATAAAAATAACGTGTCAAAATAACACATTCGGATTTGCGTTGTATCGCGATTATACCTAGGAATCAATTTTATGCCGAGTGTCGTTGGTGCACCATTGATAACGATGGTCCTCTTTTCGCAATTGTACGATACAGAACTTTCAGTTCCTTCTGTCATTAATATACCACTGACAAGAATTACGATATAAGACAACAATTTATGCATGATATATGGTAAAAATGTTTGGTCCATGATACAGCTTGCAAATGAAATATGAACGATACAGAGAAATATTAACTGAAAATATTAACACTAAATCTAATTCATCAAGGTTTATGGTTAACTTAAACAAAATTGTGCTATTCTCAATCAAAATTTCTTAATCGTTCTCTCTCTCTCTCTCTCTCTCTCTCTCTCTCTCTCTCTCTCTCTCTCTCTCTCTCTTTCTCTCTCTCATTTCATCAGAAAATAGGTTCATTCAATCAAACATATTTTCCGTGTAGACTTGAATAAAACGTTAGGACATGATGAGTCTCTACGCGAATTCTATCATACTCTAACAATTAAATATTCTCCTAACGATAGAGTACAATAGAGTACAATAGAGTAATAGATGAAAAGTATTCATCGTACTCTATCTTTACGCGATATCATTTCTTTCGGATCCGATGCAGCAAAACGATAGATTGCGATAGAGAACAATGAGAATTTCTATAGATCTCATCGCTCTCTATCGCTTTCTCCTTTTCGATGTTTTCCTTGATCAAAGAACTTTTGAACCTTGAACTTTACAATTCAATATGAGCTATCTGTGGTACCTCATAAAATAATCTCGTAATTGTAATCGCGAATATTCAGCGGCCATATCGGCGCGAGCTTAGACGCGGTGCGGCGGGATATAGGAGCGGCGAGGTAAGGACATAAACATTGGCGCATCGTCCTTCCTCTCTCCGCGCGCCGGCAACAGTTCCTTTGTCGACTGGGCAGTGCTCTTTAGCAGCTTGTCGACTGAGCAGCTAGATGCTCCTCCCATAACGTCTCGACGTGCACTCATTCTTCAGATTTCTGTCATTAGTAACTCGATAATTATTGCGAATCTCACAAAACGATATGGGACTTTTATATTTGTCTTAACTCGCTCTATGTCTCCACGAGCTCTGCCAGGTTAGTTATAAGACACCCTGTATATTATTACATTACAGGTTGAAAACAACTTTAATCATATTTTATCACAAACTAGACAAACGATAGAACGTGCTTTTGCACTATTAAAGGGTCGCTTTCGACGGTTGAAATATTTACACAATACATTTAATACCGGCGACAAACTTGGCTTGCTGCGTCGTGCATAATATTTGTTTAAATTATAATGAAGACATTGACAATTATATTGAAGACGGTATTGGAATAAATGAACAAAATAGAGAAAATTTTGAAGAGGATGAGCACATAAAAAATCGTAATATGGAAGGTGCAGCAAGACGCAATTATATTGCATTATTGTTATATCGAAGGAGAGAATAAATGAAAGAAAAATATGCATTGCATTATCTTTGGCTTTTTTATTACAAAATAAAAAATGTATAGTACAGTTTACAAGAGAAATTTATTTTAGATTTTAGTTACATTCCATATCATTACATTTGTCATCATATATATACAGGGTGTTTGATAGCTGATCATGCAGACGAAAGTTGGAGATAGATTGGGTGTAGCCGAGAAGAAAAGTCATGTACCATAATGTCAAATTGGCAATAGTTATCGAGTTATTAATTAAAACATGTGAGCCAACGAGCGCGTAGAGAGCGGAGGGCGACCGCAGTAAGCACGTAGACATTTGATACAGGCGGAGTCAGCGAGAGATGGTAGGCGAGCGCGCGCGGTGAAGGGCAACGTAAGCAACAAGAGGCGAACGCGCGCGATGAGGAGCGAGCGAGCGCGAACGACGAGGAGCGAGCGAGCGCAAGCGACAAGAGCCGAGCGAGCGCAAGCGACAAGAGCCGAGCGAGCGCGACGAAGAGCGAGCGAGCGCGAACGACGAGGTGCGAGCGAGCTATAAGGAAAAAGCTATAAAGAAAAAGCTCGCTCGCTCCTCGTCGCGCGCGATCGCCTCTTGTCGCTTACGTTGTCCTTCGCCGCGCGCGCTTGCCTACCGTCACTCACTGACTCCGCCTGTATGAAATGTCTACGTGCTTACTGCGGTCGCCCTCCGCTCTCTACGCGCTCGTTGGCTCACATGTTTTAATTAATAACTGGATAACTATTGGCAATTTGGCATTATGTTATGTTGGCAGTATGACTTTTCTTCTCAGCTACACCCAATCTATCTCCAACTTTCGTCTGCATGATCAGCTATCAAACACCCTGTATATATAATTATGTTATTTCCATAAAACTTTTGAATTAAACAAAAATAAAAATAAACTAGTTATTACTTTCATAGTAATATATACACTTTTCCTTTATCGACGAAAATCATCTTTTCATATTTAACGCAAAATTAAATTAATATTATATTTTCATATCGATCAACTTTAATTAAAACTAATAGTCAGTCTTTGATCGTTAAACTGTTATTATAATAACAAAATATTTTTCATTTTTATTAACAGAGAACATTATTTAAGATTTAACGTAAATAATAAAAATAATATCACTTTTATGCATATATATATATATATATATATATGTATATGTCTGGATTATTGCATGCAGCACAAAGAGAAACATCGCTGACTTTACTTACTTATTAGTTAAATAACGACACAAACTACAATTTCTCCAACAACTTTTCCATTACAGTTTTATAAATATCCAAAGCTTGTTTTTGCTGTTCTATTATTTCTTTGTGTCTTCTCTCTCTTGCATCTTCTCTTTGCTATGTTTTTCTTTTTCTTTGCTGTGCTTGTTCATGCAAATATTCCGTCAATTCATGCAGTTGCTTTGTCCTTTTTTTAAAGGTGGTGCATTGTTATCCTCATCAAATGTTAATTCTTCCTGCAATTAATTAAATTGAACACCTTGCAAATTTGATGCAATAGCCACTGGTTGTATGCTGTGAGATTTTCCAAATATTTCATCCATCTCGTCATAATATTTGCATTTTTTAAGTGCTGCACCAGACTTTGAATTGTTGTCTTTTATTTTTATATAAGTTTTTCGTAAGTTTTTCCACTTATTTTCAACTTGCTTGCCTGTAAATATGTAACCTTTATCTTTAAAGAACTCAACAATTTTGTTCCACATGACTTCATTTCTTATTTTGTCATCAAAAAGTTTTTCATGATCTTTCCATAAACAAAAATGAAGCATAATATCTGACGAGTGCTGCCATGTAGCTACAAAAAGCCATATAGAATATATTAAAGAAATATTAAACATATTAGAAAAAATTATAATCATAATTAAAACATGTGATATCATGGATAAATTATTTCTTATCTCACCATGGTTTCCATCTTCACCGCAAAATATGTTTTCCTTTTCTTCCATTGCGAAGTTATTTTGGAATGTATTACAATCTACAAGGAATTAATAATGTTAGTATAACATTTTAAGATTATTGAATAAATGGAACCGTAATAAAAAATGAATATCTTCTAGAAAATTATTAATAAAAAGAATAAAATAAAAAGAATAAAAATATACCTTGCTGTTGCTGTTGCTGCTCTGGGGAAGTATTTTGCGATAAATTAAAAAATTCTTGAACTTCTTTTGAATTTGGCACTGTATGTGCACTGTTATCTACAAAAATATATAAAGAGAAAGTTACTAATACATATCAATGATTAAGTGCACACATGTTAGTAGTTAAATTAGGGGGATTCTAACCCAAATTGCTAATTAATTATGCAAAAGACATTATTTATTAATTAATATTTTTTAATTAATACCCTCCTCCAATTGATTCCCCCTCTTAATTGATACCCCCTCTTAATTGACCTCCCCCTTAATTGACTCCCCCTCTTAATTGATACTCCCTCTTTATTGATCCCCCCTGTTCACTGACCCCCCCTCTTTATTGACCCCCCCCTTTTAATTGATACCCCCTCTTTATTGGTACCCTCCTGCTCCACCCCAGAATCTTTGATTCTATGAGCAAGATGGCGGCCGTGACGTCACGAGAGAAAAACGCGTCGGGCTGTAGGTAGACTCGAACCTGGGCCCCGCGGGTTGCTATCGGACGCTCGAACCTCCTAGACCATTGCTGCCTGTTGCTAGTAGACGTCTAGTGAAGGTTCTTACAGTATGTGTGTGATGACGTCACGCATACGTCAAAAGAAAAAACATGGCGGCGGTGTAGGCCAGACTCGAACCTGGGTCCCGCGGTTGCTATCGAGCGCTCGAACCTTCTAGACCACCGTCGCCCATTGCTAGTAGACGTCACGTTACGGGTAAGAAGGCGACCGTGATGTCACGCATACGTCAAAAGAACAAACATGGCGGCGGTGTAGGTAGGGTCGAACCTGGGCCCCGCGATTACTATCGAACGTCTATCGGACATCTCTCGAACGTCTATCGAACGTCTCTCGAACGTCTATCGGACGTCTCTCGAACGTCTCTCGAACGTCTATCGGACGTCTAATAATCATCATACCGCAAATAAAGAACTGTATTTTTATCAAACACAATTATCATATAAAATCCTAAGAGGTGAAAGGGGATAAGCGTGTTGGAAGAAGCATCTGTACATTTGAAATAATGTTTTATTAAGCGTCGTACAATTCTCTCCAAGACCACCAATTGAAAATGCTTAGTACGTTCTGTAAGGCGCAATTTTTCATATGATTATTACATCGAAAAGTATTATTCAATTTTTGCAGAGAAGGCATGTCATCATAATCGGTGTCCACGGTCCTAATGATCACGTTGCTTCTCACATTGTCATCCAGAAGATGTAACAACCATTCCCGCTTCTCATTCCCTTTTACATACACAAGTTGAGATGCGACATCTTCAAGCTCGCCATACATATCACCCACCACAGCGGTAGTAAACAAATGTTCAGCTCTGCAGTATTTGACGGTTCCATCTTCCCATCGTAATCCATGATGATTAGCCGTTAACCAGTAGGCTCTCGATTTGTCTGATCTTGTGAGCAGATGCCATGGCATCGGACTCGTGACGATGTAGTGTGAAAGAATAGTTCCATTCTTCAGTATCGCCGCTTCTTTTACAATAAATCTCTTTCCAACCATGTACCCTTGTAGATCCACAAAAGTCGGCACATCCATGATGAAATATTCTTCGACACGTCCGGGAGAGAAATGTTGTTTATAGCACTTTGTTGCATGTATTATTCTTTTCTCGTACATACTTTCTGATGTTAGTTAAGTTTGCACACCATGTTGGTTAGCGGGCTATATTCAACTACACGATCATGCAGGATGAGACAATATGCGGTAGTATTCGCCGGTATATTCTCCTTACACTCAAATTTTATGCGCACATCCACAGTGGCACTCTTGATGGACTCATTTTGACGCGAGCAATCGATAACCACAAAAGGACCTAGCCGCAGAAAGTCGGTAGTTATTAACCATGCCTCAGCATTGTCGCATCCATAATACGATTTACGAAAACATCTATACATATCGTAAAGTACGGCGTATTTATTTTTTGTAAAGTCCAAATTCATGTCGTCGTACGGATAACACTCTGAATTCAGATAGAGCTTCACGTTGATCAATTTGCAGTCATCGAAACGAGTTATATTTTCCGACATGACACTCTTCCGGCCAGTCTGCAGTGCAAAGATAACGTATCCAGGTTTCTCCAAATTAGTAGCAGTTTTGACGGTCCACAAGTGTTTGGTCGTGCTTTGCAGTAGAGGAAATTCATACATATCCCACAAGCGGAAACTCATACTCAGGTATCGTCCATCCTCCAAAGTTTTCAGCATGGAAAGTTTATTGATATCGTTCAAGATTACGTGAGGCATTCGCCATTGTATCTTGAATAGCTCAATCTTAGGATCCAGCGCTGAAGATCCTAGTAGACTGTTGTTGTCACTGCGCGATCGTAATAGAATCAATTCGTGACGCACGTTAATCACTATACGTTTGTAGTCTTCACAGAATCCTAGCAAAACGTTGAGCGGTACTCAAAAGTTGAAGTACCCGTCCGGCAAAATAGTGTCAGTTGTATCCCACGCGGCATTTTTCATGATGGCATTTTTGTCTGAAGATATCGATACATTGAGTTTTTGAGTGTTGAAATTATTCCCACGTTTCTGTTACGATCAATCTCCACACCATCCAGTTCATAACGGATCTCATCAAACATGAATGCAACTTCATTATATCCCAACGTTACAGTTGCACCATCGACTGCAACTTGTTTCGTCACCTTCCCCTCGACATAGAGATAACTCTCACATGGCAATATGTATAAATCCTGCTGCTGTATGGATATTCGTATCTTGTCGCTATGTCCAAACGTTGTGTTAGCGTATGGATTGTACGTATGTGTCTCAATCTTGACGATGCGCTCGTCAAAGACCGGTTCATTTCCAATGTTCAAAATGTCAATCATCTTTCTCAATCGTTTCGTACGATGAATCCCAGAGATTTCAAAAATTCAACGTTCAACGCGCTGAGTTTCTTTCGAACGAGGGATTTTGTACTGTTAATTGCGCGTCTCGTAAAAAGTATATTTCCAACTTGTTTCACTTGTTCCACTTGATTCACCACAAACATTTCATAGATTACGTTTATTATCGTCGCCGTCGTACGTGCAATTTAACGGTAATCTCTTCTCCTCGAAAATCGAGCGATTGTCCTTCTTGATCAACTACACGCACCGTTAAATCTGTAATGCTCCGTGCGATGATTGGAAGATAAATGACATGTGTCGGTGTTTCCGATATCTTATATCCTGGTGGCACCTTAGGCGAGAATTCATGTATCGTATGTACACGCATACTGTTACTGTACGCACCACTGACAACGCTGCATTCTATACGAATGATATTCACGTTGATAATCTTAATCGGTGCGTCCGATTCGTACCATCGATGCGGTTCTAATATACGACTCGATGAGAATCCTAAAAACGAGCCAATGTTGTTTGGTTTGCTAAAATTTATTCTATAAGCACATTTTATTTCACTCCTCATTATTATTCCTCCGTATTATTATTGGCACGAATTATTATAGGATATTCATTCTCGTCATCTCTATATGGATTATTTTTGGAATGCACTGCTTTTGGAGAATGTAAAATTGCACGTTTCAGATATTCGTATATGGCGCGCAATTCGTACGATCCTTCAGGAATCGTAATTTCTTCATCGTTAGCACCATAGTAAAATTTATTATTTGACGAATTTACGTTTGGTATCGTATGGTATGCTTCGAAATCCGTTAAACCGAGTTCGTAATCACCATCGCTCAAATCTATAGCGGGAAAGTAGCTCACCGTAAGGGTGTTACTGTTGCCAGTCAATGTAAGCGTTAGCGACATGTTTGCAAACTGTCGAACGAATACTGACTGCTGTTAGTGGAATGTCATCATCATCATTTAAATTGATCCTCTACCGTCTGGAGAAACTGCAAGCACAATTGTCCGCAAATGCTCTGATTGTAATGTTGATATGATGTGCGATTGTACAAAATTTTCACTATACCTCTCTCAAGGTATCGAATCAATTCCTTGGGCGGTCGAAGATTACCAAAACTGTCAAAATATATTGCGCGATTTCCTCTTTTCGCATACGCCACCAGTGAGTACCTGGTCCCTCTGTGTTGTCTAAATTACAATACCGCTCTCGTTTTGACGTACTCCATCTATTGGTAAAGCGTCACTCATGAAAACACCTCGAAAAAAAGATATACGCATACGCCTCGCTAGTCTTTCCAACTGTACATTAGTCATTGCACCCGTTGGTAATTTTAACGTTTTTCTGACGTTTTTTTTTCTACAGCGCCTTTCCCGCGCTTGTACGGAGCAAGATAGATTCCGCGACCTTTCGTAGCGCGACCTTCCATTGCGCGATGATGACATTTTAATTCTTCCAGCTGGCGTTGCGCGGCTTTGCCATCATTCGCCGCTTTTGCGACACCCGCCGCTCCACCGACTAATGAACCAAGAACTCCCAGTAATGGTAGAACTGGTAAAATACCACCCCGTTTTGCTACTGGAAGTGCTCGTTTTCGGATTTCTTTCTTGGACGACTTCTTTTTCTTCGTGCCCATGCCCATGCCGATTTTCGTTTTGGCTTTCATAGCAGCCCACACGACTGCAGCAGCAGCTTTCTCGCCTAGAGTTGATTTTTTCGAAGTTATGCGTTTCCGCGCTTTCACAACGAGAAT